GGGGCTAGCCCCCCTGAAACTCCCCCATTGATAAGTAAACACGACTGTCCGCTCATGTTATTGTTTCGCATTTTTGTGAGTTTTCTTTTATAGTTTCCTGGGGGGCAAGCCCCCCTGAACCCCCCACCCCCACCCCACTGTTGGTATGATACACGGTGGTCCACCAAAGTTAAATCCCCTGCCCACTCTCAACCACCACCTCTCGCTCACCTCGCCTCGCCAGTCGCCGCTGACTTCGCTGTGCGTGCGTGAAGTCGCCCGTGGAACTACCTTTTGTCCGCACGCAGAGTACTATGAGTGCGTAGTTAGGCTAGGCGTGCGTAGTAATCACGGGCCGAGACGGGTGGTCCGGTAAAGTACAATCCAGCCAATGTTATTCGGACTCGAGTCCGAATAACGACGGCCATAAAATAATGCACTTCGACAAATAAAAGCCTGTTGGCAGTTGGACAAACTTACAGTATTTGGGCCGAAGACAACAGTTTCCCTACTCCACACTACACTACACTCTCTTATGATGTGATGTAAAATTGGAAGGGCTTCCGTAACGAGCGACCACTCCATCAAACACCATAAAGAAGAGGGTAAGATTGAAGAATACCGGACCACCGGACTGACTTTGCCTATGTCTCAACCTTAGGAATTCATGATTTTCCCCAGTTTTTAATATCTCTCAATGGAGAATCTCGGACCGGTAGATCTATTCATTAAAATTTTGTCAGGGGGGAGACCCCCTGAACACCCCCACTCCCCCCTTCACCCAGCCCATATTCTCGCGCAATAATGTATACCGTGAGTGGTCCGGTATTCTTCAATCCTCCCAAGAAGAGGCCTAGACCTAACCCTAACCCTACCACTACCCCTATCCTTAGCCTTAACCCTACCGTGACCCCTACCCCAAGCCCTTGACTTTCTGCTCTCTCGGTCTAGTCTAGATCTAGATCTAGATCTAGATATATATATAGATCTATTCTAGATCTAGTGGTCGCTCGTTACGGAAGTCCTCCCGTGAAATTAAATAAAGAAAGTGGCTATTCTCACCCGCCCGGAAGTTCTCGCAAGATCAACTCCTCCCCTCTTCTCTCTCTCTCTGTCTCTTTCTGAATACTGTCTATCGGTGTGGAAGATCAAATTGACCAAAACAAAGTTAAAAAATGATGTTAAAACACAAAAGTAAATTAATTTGGTTGTCTACAAAGATGCTACGGCTATTTAACTTTTCGAATCGAGCCGAACTACGCGGGTCGCCATTTTGTTTTGCCCGGAAATTCTCGCGCTACTCCTCTCTCTCTTTCTCTCCACTGCCCACAGACAAAATTGTACGCTTTTAGTAGGCTACAGTTGTAATGGAACGTTTGTTCACGGCACAAAATTAAATTCTACAATTTTTCTGTTATCACAGTGTAGAATTCTGTGGTTTAGATTTAGGGTGAACGCGCACCGGGTGAGAATAGCCACAAGACTCGCCTGTGAAAGAATATGCCTAGATATCTAGATTTAGATTATCTAGATTTAGATAGGCCTATACATTGTATCTAAATCTAGATTTAGATCTCTAGAATAATAACTTTTTTTCTAGATCTAGATCTAGATCTATATATCTAGATCTAGTACCTGGTCTCTTGGTCTAGTAAATAATGTGAACTTGAGTAGGCCTAAGAAATTAGAAAGAACAGAATAGCCTCCCCTGTTGCTCCAAATAGGGCTATTAACGTTCTTTTTTTTTACAATAAAAATGGGGAACATTTTGAATTATTTATGAAGGTTTCTTTTTATGAGACTCTTCATTGTATTATTGGGTCATTTGATCTATTGAAAGTCTTGATTTGGTGGTTTTCTCAAAATACGGTTGCTATGGTTGCACAGCTGTTGCGACAATAATTCCTTTCTTTGTTATTATTTTACTTTTTGTTTACCAACATGGCGGTAGCACGTGGTGCTGCCGTACATGATATTGAATACTGTGTTGTTTGGCGCAGTTGGTGAGCTAAAAGATGTTGCATATGTGGCTCTAACTTCACTAACATTGTTTAACGGAAGATCAGTTTTTATATATGTGTTTTATAATCTAGATCTAGATCTAGATCTAGATCTAGATCTAGACTCTAATGAAATAAGATGGTCTCCCAGGCAGTAGATCTATAAATGGACAATTTGGCCTTCTAAAAAGTCTTGGTGCTTTTTCGGTAGTTCCCACCCCTCTTATTTGAGCCTGACCTAAATCTAGATCTACGTCTAGATCTATACGTTTGATTTGCGGCAAGCTAAGATATCAAACCTAACTACTGCAAAACATTAAATTGTGGTAAAATTCAGGGGGGCATGCCCCCTGAAACCCCCCCACCATATTTTTATTAGGGCCACCTCTATTCTCACACCCGGAGTGAGAATAGTAATAGTGCAGGCGAGTCTTGTGGCTATTCTCACCCGGTGCGCGTTCACCAAATTTTGCGTTCACCCTAAACCACAGAATTCTATACTGTGATAACAGAAAAATTGTAGAATTCTGTGCCGTGAACAAACGTTCCATTACAACTGTAGCCTACTAAAAGCGTACAATTTTGTCTGTGGGCAGTGGAGAGAAAGAGAGAGAGGAGTAGCGCGAGAATTTCCGGGCAAAACAAAATGGCGACCCGCGTAGTTCGGCTCGATTCGAAAAGTTAAATAGCCGTAGCATCTTTGTAGACAACCAAATTAATTTACTTTTGTGTTTTAACATCATTTTTTAACTTTGTTTTGGTCAATTTGATCGTCCACACCGATAGACAGTATTCAGAAAGAGACAGAGAGAGAGAGAAGAGGGGAGGAGTTGATCTTGTGAGAACTTCCGGGCGGGTGAGAATAGCCACTTTCTTTTATTAGGTCAGGGGGGCTGCCCCTACTCTTGGGGCCAAAACCGGCGAATGAATAACAATTCTGAACCCCCCCCCCCCACACACACACACACACTGTTATGGCTGGTGCACATTAACTCTTGTCCTGCGTCTGTGCTGAGATGCGAATCTTATCAGCAACCGATTACGTCGGACATTCCGGGCATGCTGCCGGGGTCACTCAGTGCGTACTGTTGGTGTACAGCGCGCGTGCGCTGGTAAACGTGTGTTTTCGCCATGAATGCCAGGGGAGTGTTAATCGATGATAAAAATTTATATAAATAACGCTCTATCTTTCATAGCTTTCTATTATAAAGTGTTACAACCTCATGAATAACCCCCTCTCACAAGCTGATAAATAAGACATTACGTAGATATGCCCATTCGAATTTATAACCTTTCTGGACGCTCTTGTTGTTATGAATGACCTGAGTTTCGAAAGGGGATAATATAAATAGGTCAATTTTCTAATGTTTTGCTCTCAAATTGTTCTTTGTACCTGCACAATGGTATTCAAAACTATCAACCAAGCTATATATATGGAAGTCTTGTTTCCTGACTATCCTTTCGAGCTCCTCTTATCTAAGTGGGTCAATTTCTTCTATAATTTCATTGGACGAACATCTAGAGAGCTACCAACTTGGCGTGTTTTGAATGAGACGTATGCCTCGATTACGAAACAGCGCAGGTAGTTCTAGAAGAAGGCCACAAACGCACACAAACTCAAGCAGACTGACGCTCACACACTTGACCTGCATGAATGGGGATCCGACTCGGGACCCGAATTTCACGTAAGATGGTGCGCGTGCGCTGATCCAGGGGCTACACTGATTCGGGTCCAGAACGTGGGCGAGGTGCCGAAATAAGCTTTCGGGCGACATAAACCCGGCCCCCGCAGAACGAGGGTTAACTTTAACTCTTGTCCTGTGTCTGTGCTGAGATGCGAATCTGGCGATTTTGTAGTTTTGTTCGTTAAAGTCAAGAGTAGGGGGGTTTCAGGGGGTAAAAATATAGAGGGGGGGTGGGGAGGGGGGTTCAGGGGGGCATGATTTTACCATCATTCGATGTAGGTAGGTTGCATCCCTGTTCTATGGGTAGCCTATTTGGTCATCAAGACTTCTGGATTTCTTCTCTGGGTGTAAACAAATGGATCGTGGACTTTAACGAACGGAACTGCAAGATCACCGCAAATCATATCAGCAACCGATTACGTCGGACGTTCTGGGCAGGCCGCCGTGGTCACTCGGTGTGTACTGTTGGTGTACAGCGTGCATGCCGGGAAACGTGTGTTTTCGCCATGAATAGCCCTCTATGGGAGTGTGTTAATCGATGATGTAGTGATGCCAATGAAAATTTTAATTTTCACTTTAGGCCTTTCTTATTTGCCAGCATTAGATCTATTTCTCCGAACGTTCGGGAAAATAAAGCTGGGCACTATTTCTCCGAACACTCTGAAATCACATCCTTTCCCGCGAATTTCGGATATATGGATCTCTATAATTATATTATTGGCCTACCCAAGATTGTTTGTATACAATATGGTTCAATCGGTCCTAAAAATGTCTGCTGTAAATATTTATAAATATAAAGAAATGCTACAGTTCCAGTTTTTCGCTACAGATATGACATGTTGCCTATGAAAGGTGCTGCTCTTAAACTTTAAAATGTGTTGTGTTCACTCGTGTGCTGTCAGCTGTCTAGATCTAGATCTATATGGAGGGTTATAGAACTAGCATCTCTTGCGTTTGTCGCGGCCGCGACCAATCAATCGCAGCTCGATTTTTTGGGCATTTTTTGGCCCCCAAATCTTTGAATAAAAGTCAAATAAAAAAATTTTAAAACACCAAAAAAACGAACCTCTTTACTTTTGAAAGAAAGTTCACTTAGCTTCACTTCGTCTCTTTCTCACTTGTCACCATGTTGATTTGTTGAATACGTTACAGTATATGATTTGTATTGCTGTTCCTCTTTTATTTTTCCCTCTTTGTGGTGTTTTATTTTGTTGGTGTGTAATTTTTTTCTCTTGTTATTGTTCTGATGTGTTGTTTTTCTATTAATTTATTTTTGTGGTTGAGGAAAAGAGGGGGGGGGAGGATGTTGTGTAGTGTAACATCATTTAATTTGATGTTTCTACCTTCATTAGATCAGGGCTCCCCTTTTCAGACCAACTTAAAAGGTTCCTTCACCCTTCGGTTTTCTATCTTAAGGGGTATTTAAATTTAAACCCTTGTTTTAGAATCTTAAAGGATAAAAGTCAATTATCTCCTAATTTTATAGTAAGAATTTTTTGCATGTAAACATTTAACTCCGCACGCACATTCACACAGACACACATACAGTGACCATTAATATGATTGAATGCTAACAATTTTTTAATTACCTTAAGGTTTCTTAGTAACAGCAAGAAATAAATGAGTAATATTGACTACAATTAAAGTTGTGTCCATTTGGAGGGGGGAAGGGTGGTGGTTGAGCAAATCAAAAATAAAATAAAGTTGACAAACGAAAAGGGGTCAATTCCAACTGTAATGCACAAAGAAAATCAGACTTGCCA